GACCTGAAACGTTAACTCTGTCTTTTCCTTCACAGATGCTGCCAGACCTGCTGAGCTTTTCCAGCAACTTTGTTTTTGTCCCTGATTTACAACATCCGCAGTTCTTTTGGCCCTCATTTACATACCTGGTCACTTCTTCAAAAAATTCAATTGTGCTGACTGTTCTTGAATAACCCCTGCCTCTACAAATGCAGATTACTTCTGACCCTCAGAACTGCTTCAATTAGTTTCCCCATCACTGATGTTAAACTGACAGGCCTGAATTTCCTGGTTTATCCCTTGCTCCTTTCTTGCATTATGAAACTACATAAGCGATCATCCAGTCCTCTAACACCTCTCCTGTGGCCAGAAAGGAATTGAAAATCATTGTGAGCGCCCCTGCCATTTCCTCCCTTGCCTCACGCAACAGCATAGGATACGCTTCATCTGGCCCTTGATATTTGCCTACTCTTAGGCCAGCCAGACTACTCGGAACTTCCTCTCTGTCCATGCAAAATTTTTAAAACCATATTAATAGTCGTTTCATGATCTACCATTCTCAAGTATTAATAATCCCTCTACTGAGACAATATGTGTTTGCAAAGGGTTTCTAGGGTAGTTCGTTCCAAAACACACTATTTTTTCAGGCTGGTTCAAAATGCTGATCTCTATTGAAATGAACAGAAGCATGTTAGGGTCAGGCAGCCATCTCCAAGTCTAATGGTACCATGCTAGTATCAGTTAAAAAAGAAGAGGATAATCAGAAGACAACAAAAAAGAAGTCCTGATATAGGGGATAATACTTAAAAATATCTGGAGGTAAATAAATCTAGCAGAAAATATTGCTGTAGATTTCCTTCCACTTTTCATATGTAGATGCTCACTTTAGCAACAGCAAAGTGACTCAATATCAGGTTTTTATAACTTGATACATAAACTGCAGATTTGTTCAAAACTGGAGTTTCTTTCTGATTTAGCTCAGCATGAATTGAAACAAGTAACAATTAACAAACCATTGCATGTTTCTTCACATAGATTATATATATATATATATATATGTATATACCGTTTTACATTCCTGTGACTGCAGTGGGGCTACTTCTTCTCCAAGTTGGCGATATGTGACAATGTGCAGGTCAGAGATCTTGTCTGGAAGAGATTTGTCCAATGTTTCAGGCAGCACCAAACTAAGGATTCCCGCTAGCAGTCCAGCGGCTCCAAACACAACAAAATGCAATGATGCTTGAATAGATTTCTGTGAAGGGCGTGAAATAAAATTAGTTGTCCAATGATACAAGAATGACACTGGACTAAGAAGATATAAGTGACACTTATACTGTATATACACTAAACATAATGACTACATAAAACTCAGAAACTAAATGCTGAATTGTCCATAGTATCCAGGGATGTGCAGGCTAGATGGATTAGTCATGGGAAATGCAGGGTTACAGGGATAGGGTAGGGAGTGGGTTTGGATGGGATGCTCTTCGAAGGGTCGGTGTGGACTCGATTGGCCAAATGGTTTTCTTCCACACTGTAGGGATTTTATGATTCTAAATGTATTCACAGTGCTAAATTTTAAATTTTCCTCTGTTCGCCTGTCTGCAAGATATTACATAACACAACTTACATGGCTAGAAATTGATCAATGTCGATTGCATTTGAATGTCTATCTCCTATTTATCCAGTTCCATGGATATCAGGAGCTCCGTGTTATCTTGTCCAATTACTATTGTCCATTTCTAATTCCAGACTATGGTTGGAATTTAAGCCAGACCATCGCTGCGGGAAATGCGGCAAGGCTCACTAAATTGCAGAAAAGGCCACGTGTAAGACAGCCAGTACCAAGAACAACCTCTTACAATTAAGTTGAAGGAGCTGTTGCATGCAATTTATCTGCTTGTGGAAGGAGGTCGATTAGTAAGTCACTTGATAACAATTACTTGAGCCCATGAGAATTTAGTGGCAGTTCAGAGATTAAATGGGCACCACAAAGCTTGCTTGTTCATTATATGGTGGCATCCTGTTATATATCTATTTATGGTCTCTTTGAAGCAGTGAATTTAAAAAAAAAATCACACACACAGCTGTACAACCAAGGCTAAATTACTCACTTATTGTAAAAAAAAACAATTTTATTCAGATAATTTCCTTACATTCACAGTGGTAAGCAAGTGGAATGCACTGGAAGTAACTGAAATTTGGAAAAAGATGCATTTAAAGGCAAGTTAGATAAATTCATGAGAGAGAAAGGAATAGATGATAAATATTGTAGGATAGGGACAGATGAAGTAGGACAGAATGAGGCTCATGGAATATAAACACTAGTGTGAGCTAGATGAGCCAACATGCTCACTTAGTCACAAAGTCATACAGCACAGAAACAGATCTTTCAGTCCAACCAGTCCACACCGCACATAATCCCAAACTAAACAAGTCCCACCTGCCTGCTCCTGGCCTATAACTTTCCTATTCATGTACTTATCCAAATGTCTTTTAAACATTGTAATTGTACCCACATCCACCACTTCCTCAGAAAGTTCATTCCACATGCAAACCACCTTCCATGTAAAAAAAAATTGCTCCTCATGTCTTTTTCAAATCTCTCTCCTTTTGTATATGGAATGCACTACTGTCACTGAGCTTCAGTGATGGAGAGAGTGAATGTCGAAGGTGGTTTATTGTGGTGCAAGTCAGGCAGGTTGCTCTGTCCTGGATGATACTGAGCTTCTCGAGTGTAGTTAGAACTGCACACTGATAGTCAAATGCAAAGTGTTTCATCACACTCCTGATTTGTGCCTTGTAGAAGGTGGACAGTCTGGGGACTCAGTACATTAGTTACTTACAGCAAACCTCCAAGCCTCTGACCTGCTTTTGTAGCCAGAGTGTTTAGGTGGCTGCCAAGTTCACTTTCTGCTCAATGGTAACTACAGGATGTTGATAGTAAGGGTCTGATAGTAAGGTTTCTGAAGAAGGGCCCCGACCCAAAAGGTCAGCTTTCCAGCTCCTCTGATGCTGCCTGGCCTGCTGTGTTCCTCCAGCTCCACACTGTGTTATCTCAGACTCCAGCATCGGCAGTTCTTACTATCTCTCAGGATGTTGATAGTGGCAGATTCAACAATGGGAATGCCATTTAATGACAAGAGGAGATGGCTACATTCTCTCTTGATGATGAATGTAATTGCTTGGCAGGTGTGTAGTATGAATGTTGCTTGTTACATGCCAGATCAAGCCTGGCTGTTGTCTGGACTTGCTGCATATAGATATGGACAACTTCAGTCTCGAAGGAGTCAGAAATGGTGTTGAACACCAATGTACAATCACTTACAAACATCCTCACTTCTAACCTTATGATGGAGGGAAGGTCATTGATGAAGCAACCAAAGAAGGTGGAGTCTGGGACACCACTCTTAAAAAAAATCCTAGAGCAAAATCCCAGGGCTGAGATGATTGGCTTCCAACAACCAGATCCCTTTATGCTTGGAATGATTTCAACCAGTTTAACTTGATTCCCATTGAGTCCAGTTTTGCTAGGGCTCCTTGAGCCACACTCAAACATAGTCTTTATGTCAAGGGCAACTACTCTCACACCTCTGGAGGTCAGCCCTTTCATCAATATTTTGACTAAGACTAATGAGGTCAGGAACAGAGTAGTCCTGGCAGATCACAAACTGGACACCAGTGAGCACGTCATTGCTGAGCAAATACCGCTTGACACATCTGAGGAAGAATTCCAAAGTTGCACAACTGTCTGGAAAGAAAAAAGATTGTTGTTTCTATTCTTAAAGAATGACACCTAATTTTAAAGCAGACTCCCCTAATTCTGGACTGACCCACAGGAGGAAACATTCTTTACACATCCACTTGGTCAGAATTTTATAGGATCTGATATGCTGCTTAATTGAAGTCTCCCTCTCTCCTTCTAAAGTCCTGAAATAATCTAATTCATTTCAATTCTTCCTCATAAGATGTTTATTCCAAGTATCAGTCTAGTAAATCTCCTCTGAGCTGCCTCCAGTGCATTTGCATCATTTCTAAATAAGTATTCCAAAATTGCACACAATTCTCGAGGTGTGGTTTCACCAAGGCCCTGTATAAACAAAATACAACATCCGTAAATTTTGACAATCAATTCCTCTTGTAATAAAGGACAGCATTCCATTTGCTGTCTTAATTAATTCCTCAATCTACATACTAATTTCTTGTGACGAATGCACTAGAACACCTAGTCCCCCAGAATTTTGCAGTCATTCTTTTAAATGATGCTCTGCTTTTATATTCTTCCCACCAAAATTCCGGCAAGGTGGCGGCAAAGTAAGAGGCTCCTGCTGGAGCTCCTCTGCTCCACCTGTTCTGTTCCTTTCTTTTTATCTCGCTCTTTTTCTCTTCCATTAGCCTCAGAGGTGAATCCAAGAACAGTGGCAGTCACAGGCAACAAGTCCCGGAGCAGTGTGCGGCCAGTGAGACTCAGGCAGAGACAGATGCGTGGGAAGCAGTCCTGCAACTTACCCCGGAGCAGCTGAGTGCCGGTATGGAGTGGCCTGCAGGCTTGGAGTGGAGTGGGGACAGCTGTTGGACTGAGGTTTGGCACAGGCAGTCAGACCACGTGCGGAGGCCCTGCACTAAGCTACTGCAATGTCATGTGTATTTGAAGTTTTTTACCTCACTGTAATGTCAATCCTTTAACAAAGTTTTATTTCTAACTTATTTTTTAAACTCAGTAAAGTAATGCAACTACTTTTTATTCCTCTTTTCTAAGATGGCACCATAAGAGGCAGAGATTGTAAAAGATTTTCACCGTACTTCTACAATGGAGTGCACATGACAATAAAGGATATTCTATTCCATTCAAAGTGAACAACTTCACTTCTTCCCACATTCCACTGCTTCTGTCAGTCTTTGCGGACTCACTCAACCTATCTATATCTGTCTGTAGAGAGACAGTAGGAACTGCCGATGCTGGACAATCTGTCTGTATATCCGTCTGTATCCTTACATTCTCTGTACAACATACTTTCCTTCCAATCTTTGTGTTATCTACAAATATACCTATTATTATTCCTTTGCTTCTCTCTAAATCATTGATATAAATTGTATAAAGTTGAGGCTCCAGCACGGACCCCTGTGAGATTCCACTTGTCACATCCTGTCATAGAGTCATACAGCATGGAAACAGACCCTTCAGTGTAACCAGTCAATCATACTAAGACCTATTTTTATCATGCTGTTTACTGACAGATAATTTTTTATCCATGTTAATGTGTTCCCCTTACAACGTGCTTCCACTTTTACGTGACATCTTGTGAAATGCTTCCTGGAAATCCAAGCACACTACGTCTACAGGCTCCCCTTTTTCCAAATCGCTTGTTACTCTTTCAAAGAACTCCAATAAATTGGTTAAACATGATTTACTTTTCACAAAACAATGCTGATTCTTACAGTTTACCTTGGATTTTCCAAGTGCCCAGCTATAAGCTCCTTAATGATCATCTTTAACACCTCCCTCATGACAGACATCAAGTTAACTGGCCTACAGCGACCTGTTTTCTGCGTCCGACCCTTCTAGAACAAATGCATTATATTTGCTAGTTTCCAGCCTGATGGAACCTTTCCGCAATCTAGCAAACCTTCGAAAATTAGCACCAATGCATCTACTACAAGCAGCAGTGACATTCACGACTGCATTTGCAGGACTGCAAAACACAATCCATTGACTGTGGGATCATGTAGATCCGTCTATCACATGCTGCTCAGGACTACTTGCCAACCTAAAAACCTATACAGATTTTGATTGTCTACATTTCTGCTGCTGATGATGGACAAAGTGCCCCATAGAATCCCAGTTTGGAGTTGCTAGATCTGTTTAAATGTATTTCCATTTTGCATGGCAGTAGTGCCACACAATCTGTTAATAGAATATATTAACAACAAAAACATTGAGAGGACATCAAATTAAAAATTCTGTGCCATCTGCAGCCTCTGATATGGTTGACCATACCATTCTCTTTTAACACCTCTCAGGTCATCCAGCGACATGGCTGTTTTTCATCTGGTTCCATTCTGATCTGTAAATCACTAGCAATAGCTTCTCTTTCCACTTGCTCAGAACTGGAGTTCACTGGGATTGAAATGTTATTTCTTATTTTTTTCCTCAATAGATGCTGCCAAGCCTACTGAATTTCTCCAGCACTTTTGATCTTCATAAAGCAGATGTTAATTGATTGCCATCACCTGCCATCTAGTTTATTCAAA